TATCTGACGCAAAGATAAAGGAAGGTGTATTTGTTGGCCCACAGATCAAAAAACTGCTCAATGATTCCGCATTCAATACAGTTTTGACACCAGATGAGGAAGAAGCGTGGAAATCGTTCCAGCGTGTTGTCACAACCTTTTTAGGAAATTTCAGAAGCCCAGATTATGAGGAAGCCGTCGATGAATTGCTCAAAAATTATGAGAAAATAGGTATAAATCAAAAATATGGTGTTTGTTACATATAATTAATTTCAAATCCTTTTATTTCACTGAACACAGGTGTGAATATGTCTTTGAAGATACATTTCCTACATTCTCACATGGATTTTTTCCCGGAAAATCTTGGTGACGAGAGTGATGAGCACGGTGAACATTTTCACCAACAAATGAAGATGATGGAACGTCGTTACCAAGGGTTTTGGGATGAAGCAATGATGGGTGACTATTGTTGGTTTCTGATTTGAGAAACAAGTTCAAAACATCGAAGACAAAGTCATTCGACTCTCAATCATTTTTAATAAAACCTAAATAAATTTCTTTTGTATCAACTCGGTTTTAAATCCTGATATGCCTTAATCAAATATGATATGTAATGAAAAGAATATCCCATGAAAACTTTACATGCGATTTGGATGCTTACAACGACACCTAGAAAAGGAACTCTAAAGCTGTTGTATTTCAGCAACATTTTTAAGTGTTTTACAAAAATGCTCATAACTTCGACAATTTCCAACCGATTTCATCCATTAAAGGCTCATTTTCTCCGGTTTTGAATGGACTTTAAGAATAAATTATGGAATGATTTTTTGAATCTTTTTATCCAATTAAAAATGTTGATTAAAACAAGATTTTTATGGAAAATTCGCAGGAAAAATAAAAAAAATGCTGTAAATTTTTAAATGACTTCAAAATAATTTTTTTAATTAAGACATAATATTCTAGTAAACGATAGCAAATTTATTTAGCTTCACTTTCATTAAAAAAGATTTAAAATTGGTGCACTAGTTCCAAAGATATTGACATTTTAGTAATCGTACTTTTGTCCAAAATTCAAAAAATCAAAATTTTTGTATATCTCAAAAATGGCTCTACTTTATTTTTTTCTGACCACGGCATTGAATTCAGCGTAAGATTTTGCATTGGAAATGATCATCACCTTACCGAGTTCAAAAATGCTGTAAACTAGTGTAATGTACCCAGCAACCAAACGTTTGTGGTCAAATGCGTAACAGCATTGAAATGGTACATACAAATTCTCACAATGACCGAATACCACATGACCTTGTCAATGAACCAGAAACACTTCAAATTAAGGTAAGGGTTTCTCCAGGACGCTAGAGAAAAGCAAAAATATCTCGAACTTATATGAATGATCGCGAATATCTCGCGATTGGAAAATTTTAATATTCCTCCAATCAATTTTCGGGTTTTTTTATTATCTATTGAACTGAATAAACCCAAAATTCAGTACGTTTTGTGATGCGTTATTTTGTCATCAGAAAACAAAGCGGTTCCCTGATGGGAAAAAGTGGTTTCCCTAACACAGTCACCGAATATTGATACCGAGCACGTAATCCTACGTCAAATCTACGGTCGTGTCTTGGATACAACGTTTTACTTTTCTCTTCTAAAAAAGTTTAAAGAGATGATCATGAGATTTTCTGAAATCTTGGTTGGTCAAGTATTAATGGTTACCAAGACTTAACGTTATTGTTTTGAGCTTGATTAGATGAATCTGTATGAAATTTGAGCAATTTCTTTTGTAGTCAAAACATGGACCGTTCATTTGGTTTTGATTTTTTAAATATCCCTTTCAGTGAAAAAAATACAACAGCCTTGAATACATCTCGCTACTACTCGCTACAACTATCAACGTATGAGTATAAATATTGCAATGAATGTACATATCAATGTAGGTACACTGAATAACAAACAAATTAAGAACAAACCCATTAAATACATCTCCAGATTAAGCTTAATAATTTAAATAATTTGCAAGTTCAAACACGTGTAGGTTAAAATCATTGATTCATAACTCAATACCCAACGCTGAACTTTTCAGGAGCACTATTTTATAATGTAATCTTCGAAATTCAATCGGTTTTAAACCCTGCCAGGGGCCGCCTCCCATCTTTTCGGGCCGTTCAATATGGCGTCACAAAACCATCCGATGGGGTGTATATAATATTGACATTTTCGAATCGAGATTTGACTAGGTACCCCTCAGTACCCAACGCTGAAATTTTCAGAAGTACTATTTTATAAGGTAATCTTCAAAATACAACCAGTTTTAGACCCCGCCAGGGCCCGCCCACTCTCTTTTCGAGCCGTTGAATATGACGTCACAAAAACGCTTGATAGGCTGTATATCACATAGATGTCAATGAAAAGCATTGGTGTATTCAGCAAAGTTGTATATTTTAATGATGCCAACAATTTTTTAGAACATGATAAATTGATCAAATTTGAAAAAAGCACTAATTAACTCAAAAAACCAATATTAAGGTAGTCTTAAAAGAAAATCTATTATAGCTCTACAGAGTTATGATGTAGAAATTTGGTGTCTTTAGCAAATGTTCATAAAATCAACTGCTCTGCAACTTTGTCCAAGACATGGAACCATTATCTCGTAACTGGAAAAAGTTAGAATTTGGATGTGTAATACTAACTTAAAGATTATTCAGGTGTGTATTTCAAAAGATGCGAGATATAATTTTGAGCAACTTCTCCCAAGACAGCCAGTCTCTAAAACGTCGAAAAAGGGTAGAAAATATTTTTGACCGTCTTTATTCATATTCGTGCCACTGTGCGTCGGTAGCATTGATGCTCATCACGGAAAACAAGATCGACGGAAAACAAATCAAGGGAAAAAAATATAACACCTGAATACACAATGATATCTGGAATAACAGGACTTGTTACCTAGATGATATCAGGTTATGCTTTTACTTTTCTCGGGTATCGCTGCAGATCCTATCGAGCCGTTGAACTTTTCTGCAAAGCCTGCACGGTCAATGAGAACGACCCAAATTTTAGTAAATTTGTTTTTCTGTGGAAAACCTCAAAAATCAACGGAAAATGAGGAAAATTGACGAAAATTTTGCACAGTCTAGGAGTAGTATCAATAGACTGAGCGAATACAATCTTTATTTTTCTCATATTCGGGTAAACTAAACTCAAATTTGGGTCGTTCCCATTGGCCGTGTGTTCATTTGTGACATGATTATTTCTCGATTGATTCTGGACAATGTCCCACATGTTTTCGTCGATTAAAAATTGTTAACTTATTTTGCTAATTACTGCCACCTGAGCGGATTCATGCAAATGAAAAATTCAAAAGATAATCGAGAGTGTTATCACATTGACTGCATTGTGTGCTTTGGAACATTAATTTCCACGTAGCAAAACCATCGTTTCCACCATTCTTACGTGTTTGTGAATAGTTTAGGTACAAATCAGTTCAGATCTTTGGAAAATCGTGAAATATGACAATTACTGATATAAATTGGCAAGATGTTCAATGCGTTGTGAAAAATCCTTATTCTGATGTAAACAAACGGTTTGGTTGACGTTTTCTCTCGAACTCGCCTGATGCACTCTACATTGGTGGTGCATTAAAAAGGTTTATTGATACTGAATCATGCCCCAACAAAACACAGACCACTTGAGATGATTTTAATCTTAAAAATCGCAGTAAGTGGAAACTAGTATACACTGGAGTCGCTTTTTACGCGGTTTTTTTTTACACGGTTTTTTTTTACGCGGATTCCGGAATTTACGCGGATTTTGGTTTTTTTTACGCGGATTTCAGAATTGACGCGGTATATCGCTTTTTACGCGGTTTTTTCTTACACGGTCTTTTTTTACGCGGTTTTTTTTTACGCGGATTTCGGAATTTACGCGGTTTTTTTTACGCGGATTCCGGAATTTACGCGGTTTTTTTTTACGCGGGACGTATCACCCGCGTAAAAAGCGACTCCAGTGTACTCGTGGAAGTTGTTTAGAACTACAATTAAGTTACTTGGAACAGTCTTTAAGTCATCAAAGTCAAAGATGCTTTTTAAGGATTTAAGAGGTTTTAGACCGCCCCTCCCTCCCTCTCCTATGCTGAGCCGTTGACATTCGTCAACCATCCTCTCCTGCCCCCTAAAATGTCCACGTATATGGAAAGTTCCCCAGTAGATATGTAGAATAAATGCAAAGCGGAAAAGTCTTCCGTTGACCATGGCCTTAAATGGAGAAGGAGGTCGGTCTAATCTTTTGATTCATGGCACAACATTGATCATTCTTGCCAAATCCTAGAGATGATTGCTAAATTTAATATCATCATGCCATTATCACACACTCGAGTACGGAAATAGCAAAACCCAACAAATATACACTCCACTCTCCAGTACCTAGTTGTATTTTGAACTAAGAGTTCCTTAGCCTTACTAATACCATCGCACTAAATTGCAATCAGGTTCTTGAGGTTATTTTCCCCGTCCATGATACTACATGACACCACGCTGCTGCCGCTGATATCCCTTGTGTACATAGAATGTCAATACCTTTGGGTTACGATCGCACACATAGTCACAGTCGTGCCAGCGGCCATAGACAGCCTGGTCGTGAAGGTTTCCCGTCTCTGACACGAGCAAATTACGAAACGTGACCGTGCGGGGGCAACGAAACTCCTATAACAATTTCAAAACCCATCAATGGAACTTTTGCACACGCCAATATGGGACGTAAAATGACTTGCTCATATTTCCCCCCTCATCAGGAAATTTCATACTAACTCAGACCTGTTCTAGTATGTTGGACTAAAGCGACCGTAAACCATTTTCCCGCGTATCCTTTTTGTAGCGTTCAAATTTCCAGCATTGTTTTATAATAAATAAATAACCGTCTCCATATGTACCGACGGAGTCGCCGGGGGTGGCATGGCACCAGAAGACTTGCTCGTATTTTTAGCGTTGAAGCGACCAAGTTCAGTCACTCCTGGGATGCGGTTCGGATCGGTTCAGTTTTAGCTTTCGCTCCGGAAAAAGGATCTCCCTTATCAAGTAGTATTTAGTGCTTCAAATTATAAAGTGTGAGTGTGCAGTTGTGTTCAGTGTTGCTCATAGCCTACTTTCCGATCGAGGTCTTGGCTTAATCGATTGTGTGGTTTTTCGTTGTTGTGTCAATGTCAGACAAAAATGCAAGCCAACCATCCGTTTGAAGGAAGTATTTAGGCCACATTGACAAGTTCCATGACCGAAGTGCTATCCAATATAATCCGGCTAACCCACAGATATCGTTAGCAGTAGTGCGGAAGAGGAAATCGTTTAAGTAGTGCTACAATGCTACCTCGCAGGGATAATCTAGTCAACAAGTCGGCCAAACTGGCACAGCGCAAGAAATCTTCCAGTGAGGATGAATCCAGCGAAGAGGGGTCAACCAGTTCCGGTTCAACGGACGGGTCGAGCTCGAGTTCCGGGTCTGACTCGGAAATGGATACCACCGAAACGTCGTTCTCGTCGAAAAGTGCCACCGAATGTGTCGGCAGCAGCAAACAGCAGGGATTACTTAAGGTTAACCATCGGTCCTATACGGTCTATTGTGATACGGCGAAGAATTCGAAGAACTTCTGCCACGGTAGCGTCGCTGAGCCACTAGAGGATATCAAGAAGGATCCTAAGTGAGTATTACAGTATTCCAGTCCGATTAGTGTGTTGTTTTGTGAAGCGTGTTTGGCAGGAAATATTCTCAGAAAAATGTGTGTGAGCGTTGAAATTTGCAGTTTGGAAGTAAATTGATGCGTGCGTTAATATTAGACCCACTTGGTAGAAAAGTGTTGAGCTCCGCTGTTGTAAATAGCCGAATGATTATTTTTGAGGTTAGAAGAACTTGGTTTGGTTTTGAAAGCTAGTGGTAAAAATAGGGTCAAATTTTCTAGCGAAATGAGATATAGTTAAGATATAGGAAAACTCCTCAATGTTAAACACAAATATGTACGGATTCTTGACCATTGGAAATCCTTTGTTTTTCTAATGATATTCGAGAATTGGAAAATTTTCACAGCATTTGCTATAGAACCAGTTCATTTTTTGAATGCTTGCGGAATTACAAAGAATAATCTTCAAAATTTTGGCTCTACCAGTTTTTTTTTTTCAGACTTTGGAGGTTAGATTGTTTTTTTTTTTACATTTCCGAAAAAGAAAGCAAGATTCTGAACCTTGGAGAATTTCATAGCTTTGAGTCTGGGGATTTTGTTTAGCATTCTATCACTTTCAAGATCCCAGTAACAGAACAAAATTCAAGATTTTCGACACATAAAAAGTATTTTGTTTAACTTGCAAGGCCCAATCGAAATAACAGACTATCAAAACTACATACTAAAAAATTAAAAAAAATACTTGTAGCTTCCTTTTTCGCATAACGCTTCGTAATTTCAAAAGTCAAAATATTAAGGTTTTTGTGAGTGTTATTATTATTGTCTTAACGGCGGGAAGCTGAACGTACCATATTTCTGAAACGTTTTTATGTTTCTAAAAATGTTGAAAAAGGATGGGGGAAGGCGGATCACCACCCGGAGCAAGATGAGCACTAGGCTGTCCTATTTTTCAGCAATTCCCATCCATTCGCTTTCTGTATGCCTCAGTACACAGAAAAATGGCTAATTTAAGCGTTATTGCGCTTAAATTTACACGAAATATCGTGTAAATTTACGCCAAATATAGCGTAAACTTTATGTGCGCTATATCTCGCAGAAATTTACATGCATTTTACCAACTATGTAGCCTCTATGCAGAAAATCAGCTCCTCAGCTCAGCTTCTCAACACAGGACCTGGCCCAAAGCACTTTTGTGAAAAAAAAAACCTTTTGGGTTATTTTTTCCTTTTGATCGCTCATAAGTCACTCAATGTACCTCGAACATATTTTTCATAGAGCCTGTAAGATCTATAGAATAACTAAAGTAGATGCGTAGACCGCTCGAAAAAAAAATAATTTCAGGCCTTCCACCAAAACTTACATGCAAGTTTCCACATATTCGGCGCCAAAAACCAGACAAAATAATTTTGACATCAAAACTACCCTCACTGGGTGCCTGGGGCTTAGGGGACAATGAAATACAACTTTCGTGGCTGCACAACTAGTAGTTTTGATAATATTTCAGCGTTTAAGGATTCACTTGCTGTTAACCTGTTAACACTCAACTCGTTTTTGACCCCCGGCAATGCGCGATTTTCCAGGAGTAACCTACACGCTAACTTGAAAGTACTGATTAAGGAGTAAAAAAAGACCCATTTTGAAGAAAAGTGGCTTAACTCATTAATGATTGAACAATTTTACCCATTAATGAGTATCTGTTACCCATTAATGATTAACAATCACTCATTAATGGATAACAGATACTCATTAATGGGTAAAAAATTTACTCATTTAATGAGTTAAGCCACTTTTCTTCAAAATGGGTCTTTTTCAAACTTTAATGGGTACTTTCAAGTTAGCGTGTAAGGATTCTTCTCATATTATTTGAAAAACAATATGGGTTATTCCCGAGGGGGACGACTCTATCTACCATGCAGAAAAGATTGTGTTTAGCTGTGGCTAGCTGCACGCACGCTGAGTAGATAGAAAGAAGATTTATGACGATTTTAATGATTTCCTGCAAAAAGATGAAGCGCGATGCAAGTAGATGCGAGAATTGAAAGATCATTTTTCGTAGATTGATTCGCTAGTGTGAGATTTTTTGAGCATCTAGAATTGAGATAATTTACGTTCCCAATTTCTGTTTGAGACATGATAAAAGAAAAAAAAAATACTGATCTATCAATAGATCACTGGGCATTAATGGGTTAATGTTATGAAAATATTATTTTACGTTGAACTCTAAAGGGCGTGGGCGGAAGCGAAATGGAAACGACAAGTTTGGCAGTTGTCACAAATTACATCAAGATGCCTAACCGAAGTTGATTTGGTTCTAACTAGTTCTCAATCCAACAAGCTCGCCAACAAGTAAGCTTACTCATATCAGGCTTTTCCGCTGCTGCTGCCATTCCGCATCCGCTATCATTGCGCTTGGGCCTTAAGTGGTATCCAGCATTTTACGAGCGTTCATGTCTGCCACAATCTGGTTGAGTTTCTGGTAGGGAACATATGATTTGAAGTTTGGCTTGTGTCGTTTGACCCAGAGACGACGTTATATAAGAGACGCGTGGAGAGAATAAAAGTAAATCTGGTTGCTCGGCCAACTAATTTCTTTTTCTGCAAGATTTGGCAACCCGTAATTTTGTGTTTACTTCAAGTGGCTTTTAATTTGAGCGACTGTCGTCTGCTTCAGCATCACGGTAAAATGAATACTTTTTTAACCGTATCGGTAGTATCGCTATTCAATGGAAGTATTTGAAGACTCAATTTTTGACAACTCTGGGTGAAACCAAATATACTACATTGGAGGGTATATTCTACAGAGCGTTGCACAACATTATTCAATCTGCGATAGGCGAATCCAATAGAAAATAAGCGATTGTTTCAGTCTTTGGCGGTTAATAGGGGAACCCTCAAAAGAGTGATGATGGTGGAAAATTTCACCGTGAAGCATAGGAAAAGGAAAATATTTTCATCTTTCCTGATAAATTTATCCACCGCAGGTGCTTGAAATCATCATCCACGTGGAATATTTGGTTTTCTGTATCATATATTTTTGATGAAAAAAATAAAGATTTATTAAATTGTCCCAGCGGTTATGATCTTCCGGATTTTTAATGTATGGTTATTTCAGCTGTAAATCAGTTCAAATCTGTAGATAATCGAAAAATAAGACCAATCCTGAAAGAAACTTGCAAGTTTTGCAGTAAAATGTTCATTATTTTGACTTCTGAAAAACGGCATTATAATGTAAACAAATCGTTTGAATGAAATTTCCTCTCAAAATCGGTTAGCACTCTACATTGATGGTGCATGAAAAGAACATGAAATGAGAACATAACGAGAATACAGCTGGTGAATAACAAAAATATTAAGAGACGAACCAGCTACAGACTGAAAGTCTCTATAATAAAGCAAAAAAAAAATCCAATGTCCAATTTCACTTTTCATACGCAAACTTAATTATACTTATTTGAATCTCAACAGTTAACCAGCGTCTGGCTGAAAATCTCCTTTATAAAGACAACCAACCTCAAAAATTAAATTCAACTCCAATCTCAATACTTCTCATGCTTTTCTTCGTGAAGCGCTCGTGTTTATTTACATTGCTCGATTGGAACGGCGTTTGACGGTTCGATTGGAACTTTTGGCTTCAGCCTTCGGGCGTCTCCTATTTAACATCGTCTCTGGATTAGATAATTTGTACGATCATGTTGTGTTCAATAAATAAAAAGTAAATTTATAAATAAAACTTTAAACTATTGCTATTAACTCTAAAGTTTTTGGGACCACGTGTTGAAATATGGCCTATGATTAGCTGTTCAGTCAAGTTGTTGTGTTAGATGTGGTCTAAACAGGAAAAAATTGAAACGACTGTTTGACAGACTGATGCCTAAGATCTCCAAAACTTCATAAAGCTTGGATATATGATAAATTGAGAGCAATTTTCCTTTAAAAAACTACAAGGGACAGCCCTATGGGGTTGTAAGCAATGGTAAAGTAGGACTATGTGGTCTTATATAATAAATGTAGATTTTGTTAACTTCAGCAGGAGTTTGTGTTTTGTACTATATAGGAATAGGAATTTGAGCGAGGTTCTCTCTGTTTATACTCTTTTTTATGACTACGATTGCCCTGAAAAGAACCTTTTGATATGAATTTTAGTGAGGACATGTTCAGAAATTTAACTCTTTTTGCAAAATTTTGGTGGCCCTGAAAAGGGCCGATGGTAGTACAGGCTTAAAGTCTTTGGAAGATGATGATGACGTTTAGGTGTGTTCAATGATTGGGCACTCGCAAGAGTCTTGGCCCGTCTGCTGCTGAACTGGTGTCTGTGACAATTTGGAAGGCCGCAGAATATCAGTGTCCACCCAGCTAAAAGCTCCTCCTCTGTTTAGTTTTTCTCGTTAAATTCCTTCTCTCAACAAATTGATAAATCTTAGCCTCTAGCAGAAAGACGCTTAACACTTTTTTCGGCTATTTATGATTCTGTTTACGTCATGGTTCTTCTCTATGCCTGTTCAGATAAATTAGTACTTTTTTATTTTTTCCACTGCGCTATTTCAAACGAGTAGAAATGAGAAGGGATGTCGGTATGCGCTCGAATAATTGAAAACTCGATAAAAATTTAATCGAATAGTTGGAAAAATCTTTATGGATTAATCGTTAATCGAATGATTGGACTTTTTGCAAAATAGTGTAGTTTCATGTTGTTTGGTGGTCCTTCGAAAATGTCGAAGAGCAGAATTGCAACCAGCAAGTGTAACCTAAGAACCAAAAGCAGTGCGATGCTAGTTTTCATAGCTATGACGATGACTGAATTCAGGAGCTTAGAAGCAGAGGGGTGAAAGTCAATTCTCTTCACTGATTTTCTCATTTGATGACCATGGCTTCACTAACCACTATCTCTACTATGCTCTTCTATCATCCAGAACAACAAACGTAATCGAGTAATTAACGAAACAGAAAGTCGGTGAAGAGAATCGATCAAAATCACTTGCACCCCTGCTTCCAAGTTTGGTTACAAGATTACAACTCTGGAGAGC